ATACATACATACATACATACATACATACATACATACATACATACATACATACATACATACATACATACATACATACATACATACATACATACATAAACAAACAATGTAAGGAAGTCAGCAGATTGCGTTGAATCACTTTGTCACATCCTCCCATCCTGAGCAGCACATTAGTGACAGTGGAAAGGAAAAACTCCTTTTGACAAAGTTATGTTAGAAGAGGTAACTTCTCCACTGAACCTAACTGCAAAATATCTGAAACATTATACAAAAGAACTCCAAGAATGTCAGAAGGGAAATATTTGACTCGAATTGGTTTCTCTATGATATTTGTTTAGAAAATAAATGAACTAAACTATGGGAACTTCTTGAATCTGGTGTAGACATTTGTAGCTAAATTAGTCTGAACTGACTGTGAAACAAGAGTTACCATAAAAAACAATATTGTTCTCATCATCACAGTTCCACTTGCCTGCCAAGGAAATGTGTTGTGCCTGCCTGACGCCCGTCTATCCAGTGGAAAAAATGGTGGTGAATAAAGTAACACTCCACTGCAAATGTTTCTGCTGTAAACACTGTAAGAAGAAGCTGAGGTGAGACCGTTTGACAATATTACAAAAACTGAAACAATAAAAAAAGCAATGGATTCAGTTTAAGCAGTGGCTTATACTCATAACAAGCATAACATGCAACCTTTTTTATGTTTTCATTGCAGCACTCACAACTATTCATCTCTTTATGGAGAGTTTTATTGCATTTCCCATTACCAACAACTTTTTAAAAGAAAAGGAAATTATGATGAAGGATTTGGACACACACAACATAAAGATCGCTGGCTTAACAAAGACAAAGGGTTGGATGAACCAGATGCCAAGCCCACTTCCAAGTTWACAAAAAGCGACCTAAATACTTCAGCTGATATGGTCATTACGAAGCCAAGCTCAAGAGAGCTGAGGAACAAAAGTGATGCTGATGTCAAGGGCAGGCTGAAAATTTGCTGGCCACCAGAAAAAAAGAGAGCTGGGGTTAATCCAGCACAGGCGACAAATGCACRGGTGCTGAAAAATAAGTTGTCTGACACTGACAAAGCAGCTGCTGTTACTGTATCAGAGTGCAGGAAAACTGTCCAGAGAGAAACAAGAGATAAGGCAGTCAAGGAACAATCTAAAAGAACAAGTTTCATCCCATCTGAGAAGATCCCCTCAGAGKCATCAGATCCAGTCGGTCATTTTCAAATCATTACCCCTCCAACAGAGTCTAAGGTTTCAGTAATCAGCTCAAAAAATGGCTTATCTGTTAAAAATACAGTTCTGAGCCGAGAMGCATCAATCTCAAAACCCAACAGAGTGGAAGTGTCTCAGCATAAACACCGTAAATCTGTTCGGTTTGCTCCTGAGGTTGATGTGGCTCCYAGTGACCAGTCCTGTCAGCTGAGCTCTGAAGAGAAAAGTGAAARGGTCTCATATCAATCAGAAAAAATCCCAAATAATTTAACAGAGCTGAGTGACGACACTGAGGTGGATTCTTCCATCAAAGAACCTCATGAAACTGAGAGAAACTTAAAAATCTCTGAACGTGAACTCCACACTAATAACAGCCCAAACCAGGAGTTTAACGTTGATGTGTTGAGCAGCCAAGAGGTTCCACAAACTGATGTTACATCTCTGACTGCAGCTGTGGGGCAGGTAAACGACTCACCTGACTCTCAAAGTCTCACAGAGACTGTAGTTTTAACTGAAGATACTGAACAGCAAGAGCTCCCTGAGAAACTAGACATCATGTCGAGAGAGCCAATGGATAAAAATGACTCTGAGAATTTGAATGAAGCTCAAACTCCCACAGGAACAAACAAGGAAGTCAACGATGAAACAAATGAAAACCAGTCAGCAACAGCCAGTTCAATTAATGGCCAAGAAAACGGCAACGATCAAAATAAACCTGTTGTGAGAACAAATTCACTGACTAAAAAGGGATCCTGGTCTAAAGGAAAGAGTCCTCTGTCAAAACTCTTTATGTCAAGAGGAAATGACAACACAGCAAAGTCTGAACCAAAGGATGCCAAGAAGCCTGAAGTCAAACAGAGTGGTGGTCTTTTTGGAAGGCTGTTTCAGTCATCTTCAGACACTGCAAAACCTCCTGGAAAAAGTAACAAAACACACACAGATGATGAGAACGAAAAGAAGGAAAAAGACGCTCCTCTGACAGAAGAGAAGCAGGAGAACATGTCTGAAGCTGCAGCTTTGGAGCCAGGAGGTGAAGAGCACATCAAGTCTGAATCATCTGAGCCTGATTTATCAGAGAGTAACTGCAGAGCTGCAGACCCAATCATCCYTGAGTCGATCACTGAAACACAACCGAACCCAACAACTTTAGGGGAAACTGATAAAAGCTCAACGAATGAAATACCAAAATCCCAGCTCAGTGTTGCTTCTGACRTATCTGTCAGTGACCTGCAGATCCAGTCTGAAGATCCTCCTTCTGATGTGAATTTACTGAATACAGACCACGAAGAGTCCATCAGTAACATCATACCTGAAATTAATGATGAGAATTTAAATAATCCATTTAATGATGATATGTTTGGAGAAGACCCCACCTCAGCTCTTGGTGMTGAACTCCCCATTCAGATGAATACAGATGGATTTTCTCCAGAGCCAAGCAAACCATCTGACCCACAAGACGAGATGGGAGGAAACCTGATCAGTGGTGGGCTTTTTGATCTCACCGACGAACATCAAGATTTACCCAGCATCCCCACTCAAGCATTCTCATCTTTGGGAGACCCAGATGACCCTGCGGTGATTTTAGTGGAGGATTTTAGCCTGATAGACTCTGAGCCAGTGATTGCAGGGACAGGTCACGACTCAGAGCTCAGAAAACAAGACAACTTTTTAGATCCTTTTGGTGCYTTCAACCAAACAAGTGAGCACGCTGCTGGCTTTGACATATTCGGCTCAGACAACAATCTGTTCTCTCAGCCGCCGACCGTATCTGACCAAAGAGCAGCCGACGCTCCAACAAATCACCTATTTCCTGATGWCATCTTTGGAGCTAGTGATGTCTCAAACAGTGCAGATGTGTTTACATTACTACAGAGCAGTCCAGCAGCTTCCAGTTCACTGAATGATTTCCTTGGGGCAGATGCAGCTCCTGCTGCTCCTGCTGCTCCTGCTGCTCCTGCTGCTCCTGCTCAGGTGGATTTTTTTGCCGATGACATCTTTGTATCAGAAGCAGAGTCACTGCCCCCGTCTGAGGCAAGAAATGTCAATATATTCGGTGACGGTCTGTTGGTGTCTGAAAACGTGAATACTGAGCAAAAATCAGAGGACAGCAGCTGGATGGATGATCTGCTTGGGTAACTGCAGAACTTTATTTTATACACTTTACAAAAATACTAGCAAATTCATGAATATAAAATCATAAAACATAGCAATAATCTGCCCTTTTTTGTAAATATTTCAACATTAAGTTTAGAAATCTGTATAAAATACAATTTGTAATAGGGATTTTAAGTTTGATTGATAAAATGTACTTCTACAATCACCAGCAGAAAATAAAATGCGTTATGGGATGGCAATGATCAAAATGACAAGTGAACATTTTCCTTGTACCWTTTCAGGATTTTGCATAAGAAAACTGAAATAAAAAATATTTAAGAATGAGAATTTTGAGGTGCAAAATGKTAGTATTAAAAACTATTTTGCTCTAAATGTGGTGAGAAATAATAAAATGTGATTCATTTTCAGCAGGTTTTTTTTTCTGTCTGTTTCTGAACAACAGTTCATATGTTCAGAGGTCAGMGCAWTTAGGAAACTGCTGGGYAAAAGGTGCAAGTCCCAGCAAAAKTTTTGGAATCACCACTTARAGAGGATGAGCTTTTAATTGTTTCYTGTTGTATTTAAAAGAAAAACAAATAAACAAATGCCACAAAACAATTGTAAGTCAGTCACAGTTGCTTCTTAAGATCAAGTAGATGCAGAATCATTCGACTTTGAGGACAACTTTATYGAATCATAAAAAAATCTTGCACCATTGGCATTTTGTTGCACCACCAACAGCATGAATTATCTGAGGCATGGACCTAACTAATGACAAACAGTACACCTCACCAGGCTCCAACTGACTATTACTGCTGTTTCTAGATCAGCTCTGCAGATTTGAGTTTTGTCATTYTCCATTTTCCACCAAAGATTTTCAGATTGTCTGAGATCGGAACTATTTGTGGGCCAGATTTGTCGTTCCTGAAGGAAGGTTTTCACGTCTTTTTGTCCTATGACAAAATGCATCGTGAAAAAAATGAAGTCATCATCACCATATCCTTTTAATGGATAATAATAATTAATAATAATAATTAATCCCTTTAATTATTATTCAAGATATCTTGAATGCCATTTCACTAGTCAAAATGTTATTTCAAGACCTCTTGAATAGAAATACCCTCTAGATAAAAAATATTCAGGATATCTTAAATTAATTTAGAGATATCTTAAAAGGAATTTTGACTAGTTAGAATTACTTTTCAAGATAACTGTAATTGAATTTAAACTAGTCAAATTTTTATTTGTGATGTCTACATATACGTTAGAGATATCTTAAAATGAATTTTGACTAGTCATAATTACTTTTCAAGATATTTGTAATTGAATTTGAACTAGACAAATTTTTGTTTGTGATGT